TGTGTTATGGATGAAAGACACATCAGTGATACTTTCACATCAACACAGTTTACGAATTAGTACCGTTTGAACGAAATCACTTGAGGAATAACACACTGGCACCCACTTCTGTAGGAAAAGATTTCATTTTATTTCGTAGTTTTGATAGAGTTAGAATTTAGACGTAACTGAATACCAGACCAAGTGGCGGAATGGTTATCAATGAGCGCACTCTCGTAACCTGAAGGCCCATGGTTCGATCCCTGGTGAGGTCGTGGGTGCGCACTACTGATCAGTCCCAGTAAACACCGATAAAAATAAGCGGTGAATACGAAGACGACTTGTATGTGGCAAACTCCCAAATATGCTTTACACGAGAATATGAGTTTTCACACCTCAACTCTGTACCAAATACGTACATTAGTAAACAGGAAATCAAGACGCTATTCACTAGAGAACATTCCAAACACAACTGCATAATGTCAGAAGTGTTACTTTCGTCTTCTACACTCACAGACTTGAAGTACGTGGTAAAATGATAACTATGACATGAACTTGCGAGGATTGTGTGACTCAGTTAACTGTACGCGTCTTCTATCTATTGGACTGAAGCATCAGAGTCACTGACTATGTGGGAGACGTATTTGTAGTTCGATATAAATGATTTGTAGAAATGAAATTCATTCAGATTAACCGTTGCCCTTCTCGCTACATTTCCAATACAGGTGAAGGATAAGCTACTGAGTTTGGCGGCTTCAGTATGCATTTCTAAATATTTCTATTCTTGTGGAGACAGTAGAGGGACTCCGAAAGTGTTACGTCGTTTGGAAAAAGAGTCATAAGGTGAATCAGAAGTTCCATATTGGTACGTCTAATGGATACAGACCACAAGAATGATAAAAGTCCAGTCTTTACAATTCTACACAAGGTGCCAACTCAAATCTCTAGTTTTGTACGGCTTCCACTGTTAGGCATACGTGAAGCAGTTGTCATAATTAATTTTCAACTCAGTTTTTGTTTTCAGAAAAAGTCTGTTGACTTCCCTGGTTTCTAGTGGCCTTAACCCGCAACCTAGAATACTTATCTTTTACCGTGAAATCGGATTATTGTAAATATTATCTTTATTTGTACTGTTTTACCAATAGTATACAGAGCTACAATTGCATATTTTAATCTTAGGTTCAAAAGTTATTTAAGTCCCATAACTACGAGACATTAGTCATTTTATTCTCTACTCCACAAGTATACAAATTTTGAATAGTGTTATTAGAAAACGGAGATTATCTGATTAATGTGACACATTGGCACAGTCTGATTACACATTTACTTGTCAAGTCAATTTATATGAAAAAATAAAGGGCATTTCATCATTAGCTGACATCGGTTAGAGAACCACTGGTAAACTTGGGAGTACTGAACAGCTGTTTCTACCTGCTTTGGAATTCTTCATCAGTACGCACCTGTAACAAATCAATCAAATCCCTACAAACCAACACTTGAAAATAAAGGGTAATTAAAATGCACAAAGTGACAAAAACGATTTAAGAATAATATGAACAATCAACACCACGTTCACTTATCCAATCAGATAAGGATTATCAAGGTAGGTTAAGAGCAATAACAAATTGTTTCTGAACACACGTGAGGGGGGGCTTAAGCTTTTTTTCGATTACAGCTTGATTTCACACCGCATTTTCGATACAGGTATGGAATTTTCAGCATGTGATATCGGTAGCCCAAATTTTGCAGGCCAACCATAGATATCAGGTGTGCGTCGGCAGGGGTTCGAACTCCGGACCATTGGTTCCAAATGTCTATGATTAATACTTTATAATGTAACTGTAAAGCCTGATGAGAAACGACCAAAAATACCAATTTGCTTAAATTGTGTGGTCTATAAGATTTCATCCTAACAAAATGTTTATTTCAAGATTGACCATGAACTAACTTCAAGTTAGAGAATTACTAAAAAACTAAGGTAAACTGAACGATTGTTTCGTCCCAATTTGTGGGGATCGAACCCAAGACCTACAGGTTACGAGACCAGCAATTTGACCATTCAACCAACAGGATGAAGGTCAGTAAAGATGCCATATTAGATGAAACTATGTAACGATTAGTAGGAATATTCATGGTTAATTTTGCTAGTATAAATGTCAGAAGATACGAGAATCGGTAACGGACCTTCGTGTTATGAAAAAACTCATCATATTTATAAATTGGTAACTACATTGAAGGTCAGTTAGGTGAACAGAGGATAAACTGATTTGCTTGGTTGGAGATTGGCCCAAGGTCAGACAATGAAAAGAAAAGTTGTCCAATGAGATTATTTCATGTCCACGAAAAAAACTACTTCCAGTTTGAAGAGTAAACACTTCTACCTCTTCAACCATTCATTGAAAATGTAGACTTCAATTTTGGTAGCTCCCCATCAATCCGCATCTATATACCACTGCTAAATCTCGTCAGTAGAACATGCCACACCAATACCTAGTTTCCTAACTTTTTTAAAGTTGATGTTAGTCTAATATTGAGTGTTTGATCAGTGTAAATAATTAACAACAAAAATACGACACTTCTTTTAAACAACAACAAAAACTACAACAAGAAGTGATCAATCAAGCTTAAACAGTTTGTTTTTCACTCCATTTTAAGTGTTGTAATAAACCTGATGTTATTGATCATCCATAAAATTAACCTGGCGGTATATTTGTTTTTTCCTAGAGAAGTATTTACACTTCCTTTAAGTAACAATCGAAGAAATGGTGTTTTCGGAAAAAAATTATGAATTTATGAAACATGTTTGATTGACTCAAAAACAGAGGCTGATTACTCTACTATTATCATTCCCTTAGGTTCCAAGTGAAATATAGGGCTTCAACAGAACATCTCCATTTCACCCTGTTCTCTACAGTTCTCATGATTAATTATAAGCTCTCATCTGCTCCTTACACGATCTACTCCATGTCCCCTAACATCCATGCCCAGTTCGCCATCTCTCACATGGGCTCCACTAGAGGTATGGCCTGGATCGCACCAGAGTGTGTCCGATCCATCTACACTTCCTTCAAGATATTTGCAGTCGATTCTCCATTGGTCCGTTCTCAAGTATTTCTGTTGCTAATTCTTTCTGGCCGACCATCTGGACTTCAGTATGAAGCCAGAGAAGGCAGGTGCTGATAAAATTTTGAAGCCTGTTAGAAACGCTTCTCATGACAACATAAGTTTCTGACCCATAAAGAAGAACTAACCGAATTTAATGCTCTATGTTGAGTGAAGAAGACTTCCGAACTGATTTTACAGTGATCAATATCTCTTCTGCCTTTCCAATTCGGGTTCTGACATCCTCATCCCTGCTGACTGTCTGTAATTGAAACGATGCTTCTTAGATAAGTGGAAGAATCGACTTGGTTTAAGTTTCTCCCGTTGTTGGTGATTGATGCTTGTTGTTGTTGGTTGTCTTCATCAACTCCGTCGTTTTTAAGTTCACTTGGGTTCTTGTCATCTTTGCCTGCTTCTTCTGCCAGTTTGTTGCTTTCTACCTGTAATTTATTGCCCGTAATCTAATATCAAGGCATTCGCATAACTTGTTAACTTCTTTTATATTAATTCCATTAGTTCTCATCGTTTGATTTTATTGATAGTAATATTTTCAATATCTTTGATATTGCGGTTTGAATCATTCCTATTGCATTTGACAGGTGTCGATTCAATCAATAAAAATTCAGTGATTAACCTTTTTTCTGCTGCTCTATATTACTTTTTGGAAGTGTTACTCTTTCACATCCTGTTGTGAGATTGTATGTAACATGTAACAGTAGACATAAAGCATCCATGAAGTCTAGATCTTCTATATTCTTCTTATCATTCCAACGTATTCCTATCTTATCAACGCATATTTATTTATATTTGGTTGGTTGCAATTCGTTTACTTTCCAATATGTTGTACTGTTGATCTAAATTCTATTGTTAGGCTAAAAAACAAACTAATTCGTCTGAATAGTTTCAAGTACTTGCATATTATCTCCGTTTCTGACTAAGCTCATAAATGATTAGACAAGGCAAGCATCGTTTCAACTACAGATAGTCAGCAGGGATGAGGATGTCAGAACCCGAATTGGAAAGGCAGAAGAGATATTGATCACTGTAAAATCAGTTCAGAAGTCTTCTCCACTCAGCATAGAGCAATAAGTTCGGTTAGTTCTTCTTTATGGACCGGAAACTTATGTTGTCATGAGAAGCGTTTCTAACAGGCTTCAAACTTTTATCAGCACCTGCCTTCTCTGGCTCCATATTGAAGTCCAGATAGTCGGCCAGAAAGAATTAGCAACAGAAATACTTGAGAACGGACCAATGGAGAATCGACTGTAAATATCTTGAAGAAAATGTAGATTGATCAGCGACACTCTGGGGTGGCCATTGAGTGACAATGTGTTCCAGGCTGCTGACTGAAATCAGAGTGAAAGGCAGTAAGTTGTACGTGGGATGATGTCGTCTGAAGAGGAGATGACAGCTTACACCTAATCGTCAAGCCAGCTAAAGCTGACTGAAAAGAACATGACAAAGTGAAAATGTTCTGTTGAAGCTTTTTTTTTACTCAGAATCCAAGGAAATGATAATAATAGTGCATATGTCGGGGATTCACTGGTGAAGTACTTGTCAACAAAGTGGGATGTTTTGGTCCGATTCCTGCCTAACTGACACCTGACAGTCGCTGGAAAGGCAGGGTAAAGAGCGAAAGGCTATGTGTGACGCTAGCAACCCTGCCCTTTAGAAGCAACACTATTCCAACTGAAACTTCAAGGCTTCATAACCCTATGTTCTCCTAGAAACACAACGAACGATATATATATGTATATATATATATATATATATATATATATATATATAGATTTGAAACCTTTTAAAATGTGAGTAGACAGAAAGCCATAATGGTATTAATTTTTAATAACTTAATAATTTTACAATGAAAAATATTATAAACGTATGAAAAGATGTTAACCAAATGAGATATTACTTACATTGTAAAAATAAAGCTCGAAACGTATATAAATACGAATCTAAAAGATTTAATCTCGGTTCATCATTTGAAGGTGAAATTGCTGTGTATTTATCACTTGTAGGCCGTGTATACTCAAAAACAAATAACAATGAACCAGTCTAGAAAATAGAGAACAGACGGCTTTTGCTGACTTCCATTTAAAAACAGAAGAGTCATTTTAAGTGTATAATTTAAAATTTTAGTAAAATCTACACGCTACATACACGTACATACATGCAAATCAGTTTTAACCAGCAGTGTCTGAGCCATATGCGTGATATTAGACGAGACTGGAAAATGGGTCCTGATTTACATACAGTCCTAGTGCCTGATTATTATTATTAAGTTATATTCATCGCCGTTTTATTGTTCTCCAATACTCCGTCTAAATTTAGAAGAGGATGGAGGGATTTTTCCACAAAAGTGAAGAGGCGAGACACTATAATTTTAATTTAAACCGTTTTCCGAACTACCCAAAAATGAGACAAACTTTTATTGTTTAAAAAGCTACATTTTTAGCTATAAATATACTAATAATTTTATCAAAAGTATGAGTCATCCGTATTCATATCAAAGTAAATTTTTCAATTATCGGTTTGTTAGGATTTGATTGATTGGTTACAGGATTTCATCATGAGCTGACAGTGGTTAGAGAACAATTGGAAAACCTTCACGGAGTAATGGACAGCTGTTTCATTTTACTTTAAAACTCTTCGTCAGTACGCACCCACCGCCAGGGTTCGAATCCAGGATCTTCTGGTAACAAGACGAGCTCGGTGACTGCTAAGCCACTGGGACACGATCCACTGGCCAGCCGATAAATTCTTACTTCTGCCAATTCACGACATAGCGCGACCCCTAGCCAATGTCTTCGGCGATTATTTGTCCTCACACCCGACCGGTCACGACCTCCCACTGGAACCCCAGGTAACTGCCTACTTGAACAGGGCCAACGGCCAGTGAGTATCTCATCGATATTCAAGTATCGGTTTGCAGGGATTTGATTGATTGGTTTTATTTTTTATTTTTATTTTATTAGTTCGTATCAAATGAGAAAATTAAAAGTCAGGCTCTTACAGTACACGCCAACATTCTCCGATATGGTTGCCTAAAGAAGGAGTATCACGAACCAACAGGTTGATTCTTTAGCAGCTTATTCCTACGCATAATTCTCTATCAATAGAAAAATCTTTCAAGGTGATAATATACGGTAGGCTAAGTCATTCGAAAGATATCAGATTACATTTTTCTGTTTAAACCGGAAGTTCTTACCATACAAAAGAGGTTTTTTCAGTACCTTTTACTGCTGCTGCCTTGAAGGTCTTCTGATTCAGACAAAAATATTTTATGTAATCTATCTTTATTGGTTATTCTATTCTTCCTTTTCAAATTACCAAATTTAAAGTATACTTTATACGCATTCTGATTCTCTTACCCCTGTTAACAATATGTATATCTGTTTTCATGGGCTTATGGTGCTAATGTGACGGGTGTTTCCGGGAGCTATTTCTCAGTTAATGTTTTTAAATTAGATGAAACTATGTATCTGAATTTCTCAGTTTATCTATTTATTCCTTCTTGACGCTTAATTTTGCATGTATTGTTACCAAACAATACTAATAACTGACATCTGTTGGCACCTTTTGTGGCCTTTAGGAACATCATTTAACTGTAGAGTTTTGATGAGAAGAAGAAGTTACAAGGAGAATATTGTTTGCTGACTTATGTCTTTTTTAATAAAATATTTTTTATCATTATAATGAGGTGAATACATTTCATAAGAACCTGAAAACAGTCATCTTTATTCACACCATCTTTTGACTCATCATGTGGAAATATTTCAGACGTTGTTCTATTATGTAATCGAGTCTATTTTTGTAAGTAATAGGAAATACATTATCAAGTTTAGACTATGATACGCTAATAAAATAGCTATTATTACTGAATTCAGTATCAGTAATATTTTAAATGATCGTTTAGCTTTTGAATTATTTCATTCAGTCAATTTCATGTCCAAATCAACCTACACAGTACCTTTTGTAATTCTGCATACGATGCACTTTATATGTATGCTTGTTGATTTCTAAAAACTTAGCATAAACTCACAAAATGTAAAATTCTATCTTCATCCAAGATAAGTTTACAGAGGTCTACTAATTGTAAATGAAAGTTGACTGATGTGTGCAGCAATTTCTGTTGATGGTAGCTAGGAGTGGAATCCAAGATGATTGCTGATTCTTACATTTGACACTTGTCAGACGGTTGTTCCTCCATTCACTGTGAGTGGCTCTGATGGTGTTCCCCAACATAAGCCAGACATTTCAGTCCAGCATAATCAGTCAATAATAAATGCTAATCAACCTGTTCGTCGGTGGCACAGCGGTTAGCATGCTCTCCGACCATGCACATGGTTCGGGATTCGATCACCGGCCGACGCACTCCTTTACTTCGCTAAACCAGAAATAATGCCGGTAAAGAGGAAAGGTTGGGCATGAGGCTAGCAACCTTGGTCTGTTAAAATAAACACTGCTACAGAAACGTCAAGCCTCCAGCTTGAAGCTCTATTTTCCACTGAGAACGTGAAGGGAAAAAATACCTAAATACGAAATGACCTAAATAGTTTCTAAAAAGATCGGATAGATTTCTGTTCTTTTAATATATCATTAAAATAATCGTCTCCAGATGTGCAGTGATGTGCAGATTAACTTAATTTTCTAAAATTAGTAGTCTTTTGTCAGTGCATTACTTCTTGGTATACTGTTAAATGTATGAGTTTAAAGATTGATTTGTGCATCGTTTAAATCAGCTCTAATGACAGATCAGCGATATTCTCCATGGCTAGAGGCAGTCAGCGACCGGCTTTAGCGACATAAAAATGATGCTCCCTCTGAGTTGAAGATCAACCTCACCCACTTTTGAAATGAGAGACGTTAATACTACGGAGCAGTTTGGCCTCAAAACTGACCTCCTGTAGTCCTGTAATGGATACATTGATTAGTGACCAGTATCTGGTCTTTTTATTGGTACTGAGTGAATTCTATCGGTGAGTTATGTGGTTTTGTTGTCAAGCTAACTTATTCAGTGGTAACATCTCTGATGGAAGCATTAGGTGCCTTGGGTTTCAATCTCAGAGGTAGGGGATATCGATTCCTTCAGGGTTGGAGATACGTCTTGATAATTAGCTCCAATGAGCAAGAAAACTAGGTTCAGAGCTTCCCGCTGATTAATTTGCTAGCTCCATATTGAAGATTAGATGGCCAGTCTGAAATAATAAACTGTGGAAGCGAACCAATCTAGAACCTACGGCTCAACAAATATTCCATAAAAAATGAAGATGGATGAGGCACACGCTATAGAGACCATCAGGTGATATCTCATGTCAGGCTATGGCTCGAGTGGAACCCAATTGGGGACTTAAGGGAGTGATAATAATAATAATATATACAATTAGCACAAAGTTATCACTAAAAGTTGTTTAAATAGACACTTACCGTTAACGCATACAGTAAAATCAATGACCATATAGATGAATGGAATGCATACAAGAAGTACACTGCATTCATAAACCATGAATCTTTCCGAATTGAACTATTAACCTTTTTTATACTTTTAGCTAGTAATACTGGTCTTTGTTGAGTGAATGGTCTTGTTAAATAAGACATCCTCTTATTATTATTTGCAAAAGAATCATTTCTTATACTCAGTAGAGTGTCATAAGAGTATTGAAATAGACACAGTGCTTCATCACTTTTTGAGACCTAATCATCCAGAAAAAAGAGGGGATACATTAAATATAATTTATAATAATGTAGTATCAAGAAAATTCTCAAATGTATAAATATAGCTGATCAGTTTAAGAGTAGCTGTTCACCTAAAGGTGATTAATCCTTCAAATAAATATAAACATTATTGTCAAACGACTGAGTCACATACTCTAGAAGATGACGAAGAAGTCTACTTTATTATTCATAAGCAGTAATCACATAAATATGTGGAATACCTATACGATTTCTTAATCACTTGTGTAAGTTTCCATGAGTTAGTGCTTTCTTTCATTGGGTCGTAGCGTCACCATAGGTTAGCATGAGAAATTGAGACTATGATTTTACTGTGGAACACTAAATCCTGTGAATAAAATTCAGTTCAGCAAAGTGTACAGGAAATCAGGGAATAGTGGACAGCTGTTTCATCCCATTATGGGGTTCTTCAATAGTCCAAACCCATGGCCCCATCAAGGACTGAGCCCAAGACCTTCAAATTACAACATCAAGCTCGTTAACTATCCAATCACTTGGGCGAAAGGTTACAAGAGTTCAAAGGATAGTTTCGGATTCATTTATTCAGTAGTTTTATACACAATATAAGCGACATTATCAGTCTCTCATTTATCTACACCAAATGTCTAAAATGTTTTCCTTTTTTCATTTCTTCTCTTCTGAGCAAATTATAAGGGCTTAGGATTTACTCTAAGAGGTAGTGATTTTGTACTTTGAGAGGTGAAGTTGCTAGCTTTACACTCAACCTCCCCTCTTTTCCAAGCTTACTGCCTACCGGTACCGAACTAGGTGATGTTTAGGAGTACATCAGCTGGGAATGAAACATACACCTCTTGCATGACTGCTGATCATCCCGCCATTGGATCCCTAACATACAAAAGCGCTATTTACCATATCCAAAAGCCATAAATATTTCACTATACAAAACTTTTCAGGTTCGTTTTCTTTATAATTATTTTGATAAGCTTTTACAACCTGTATTTTTACAAAACACTTAGACAACTCAGCTACTGAATAATCCTGATAATAATATTAACAATAATAATAATCACTGAGATGCCGTGTTTCTTATCATTTACCAATAATTAATTTTATGTCCGTCTGTGCTAATGAATATTTATGGTAGTTTATTGATTACCAATCTTAAGAACTGTAGTCACTGCGGCTAATTCCTTTTTGAGTAAATGATTGTTATTACTCTTCTCCTGTGAACTAAATGCAAAAATTATATAAGTAATATTGATTGGTAAAGTATATACATATCAAGTTATTATTCTCTTAGGTTCCGATTGGAATTTAGAGCTTCGTTCTGTTCACTGTAGTCTATTTTAGCTGGCTTTACAATTGCCCGAAAATTCTTATCACATCCCCACGCGATCATCTCCATTTCACCCCCAGACAGACGCTCAGTTAGTCGTTTCCCATTCAGGTCGCAGCTGATAATATCATCCAAGCGTCACGTCATCGTACATCCAATCCATCCATCTTCATTCCCCCTGGTATCTCCATTTTCCTCGGCATTTTGTTGAACAATGAGTTCTTGTTGAGAACCTTTCCTCACCAGCCAACTGATCTTCAGTACAGAGCGGAAGAAGACAGCTACTGATAAAAGCCTAAATTAGCCTCTTACAAATGCTTTTCATGATGCATGAGCCAAGTTTCTAACCAACATAGAAGAAGTGACATATGACTGGTGTTGAAAACCCGAATCTTATTCTTCAGTCTTAGTGCAGAAAATTCTCAAACTGATTTTAGAGTGATGAAGGCCTATTTTGATTTTCCGTTCATCTTTTTAATTCTTCATCCATGCCGCCTGTTGTCGAAATGATGCTGCTAAAATAATTGAAGGAACTGATCTATTTCGAATTTCTTACGTTAACGGTGACTGGTACTTGTTGTTGTTGATGTTGGTAATTTTTTTATCTTCATCACTTCCATATTAGTTTGTTTATTAGATGTATCACACAGTGAAACAGTATTAGTATTTACTTAATGACGAGGTTTCGAACAAAATTTATTATTCATAATCATGCCATCAATTATAATCACACGACTTCGAAACTTGAGTTTTATAGTTTTCTTTGTCTTCTCCTATTTGTCGTCGTTTGGGTAGTAGAATTTTCCAGATATCTGGGTGGACAGGTGTTGAATCATTCCTGGTACATGTATTTTCTACTGATTCGATAAGCAAAGCTTCTGTTATCAACCTCTCCCTCCACCCTGTTATATTAGATTTTAAAACTGTCATCCTATCCCATCCATCCTATTGTATGGTTGTGTGTAACTGCATGTAGTGAGTGGTATAGCTGAACTATTCTATGCATTTCTTATCTTATCCGAGGTTCCTCGGAAACCTTACGCAAAATTCTTAACAAGGCAGGAATAAAAGTGGCTGGCATTCAAACCAACCACAAACTCAATTAGAAACAAGCTTTGTCGGTTAAAGGATCAATCCTGTGGAGCCTTTAAAACAAAACAATTCAGTTTATCTAACACCCTACCTGCAATGATTATCAGGTCAAATACATAGGTCAAACTAGTAGAACAGGTGCAGTCAGACTAGCCAAACATAAAAACCTAGCAAAATCTAGATTGGTTGACCCGAATAAGATAAGAAATGCATAGAATAGTTCAGCTATACCACTCACTACATGCAGTTACACACAACCATACAATAGGATGGGATAGGATGACAGTTTTAAAATCTAATATAACAGGGTGGAGGGAGAGGTTGATAACAGAAGCTTTGCTTATCGAATCAGTAGAAAATACATGTACCAAGAATGATTCAACACCTGTCCACCCAGATATCTGGAAAATTCTACTACCCCAATGACGACAAATAGGAGAAGACAAAGGAAACTATAAAACTCAAGTTTCGAAGTCGTGTGATTATAATTGATGGCATGATTATGAATAATAAATTTTGTTCGAAACCTCGTCATTCAGTAAATAATACTGTTTCACTGTGTGATACATCTAATAAACAAACTAATATGAAATTGTTTACTCCCACAGTGCCCAAGTTTTACACATATATTCATCACTTCTATCTTCTCTATGTTTACTTGAAATCCTGTCTTCTCTGGCTGCTTCTTCTCCCAAATTGTTGGGTCTCTTATGTCAGTCTTCGAATTAATGGGACAGTAGACATAAATCTTCATGAAACCTGTATCTTCTAAATTCTTCTTATCGGTCCAACCCATTCCTCTCTGCTTACTCTCCACGCATGGTGTGCCGTATAATACAGTTCGCTATAATTAGAAATGACACCGGTGACAGTAGTCAGCCTTATCTTGCTCCTGTGTTCATTTCGAACGTCTCACTGAGTTTTTCGTTGTAGATCACCTGACACATGGCATTGTTGAATAGCTGTTGAATGAGGTTGATAAAGACCTAGGGTAGGCCATAAGGTGGAATAGTTTACTCTGCGCTCGTCAACCACGCACGTAATGCTGGGGTCGATCCTCAGTCAGCGCACTCCTAAACCTTGCTAAGCCGGTAATAACCCCGGTAAAGAGGGAAGGTTGGGCGTGAGGCTAATAACTATACCCCGTAAAACAAAAACCATTGCTGCCGAAACTTCAGAGCTCTAGCCTGAAGCGCAATGTTTTACCCGGAACGTAAAGGAATGAAATTAATAAAAATAAATGCTGGAAGAATATGTGTTAATTTAAATACTTTAATTATGCGAGTTGTGTTTATTGATTATTATGTATATTCATGTTAACCAACTATTTATAAAACAATTTATGTACACTAAGCTTTCAATAGATAAAATGATTTTCCTTACCAAGCGTTTACAATAGTCGATATCTGTTAAAGAGACAGTTGTATCATTCGGAAAAATTTTAACTGTAAATTTAATGTTATTTGAATTGTTGACAGATAATAAATTCACCAGTGACACTCCTTGGATATACTCCGGGAACTGTAAATCGATAAATGAAACATAAATTTGGGATTAAGATGAGTAAGGAGAAAGAATTCTGTACTTTATATAACAAATAATGAAAAAATGGTCCGGTTCATGACACAGCTCATTGATAGTTGCCAGTAGTACCTGAAATACTCACTCTAGTGCTTTTGTACTACAGAGGGGACTGAGATTCCAAGAGTTGAATGGTCAGATGTTATGTTACAAAAGTATCATGTTCCACGGTAACATATCTATGAAAGATGAAAAATAATTGATCCCCATAACTGACTAACTGAGTTTAGTGTACAACTTTGGCCAAACTGCAGCATTTTAAGTCGCCACACTCCGTGTAGCCCTCAAAAGTTGGGAAAAGGGAGAAAAATTAAATACAAAAGAGCTATAATGAGCAGGAATGTACAGGAGAAACAACAGTGACATGAAAAAAGCTTGGATCTAATGGATCTAGGAAGCGAATGAACATGCACTACTGTGAACGACGTTCATCTACTTCACCAGTACTTTCCAGTCATTGGTTCTTAAGATCCCGAACACCCCAACCAGCAGTCTATACCTCCATGTACCGTCCAAATCAGCTGTCACAGATATCATGGATCAGTAAGATGTTTTGGGTTTGATCACCCATAACTTTTTATTAGCCTAATCTTATGTCAGCTAACTTTGACTATCCAAAAAGCAGGCGGCCCTGCATGCGCAACACATGTCCTAACTATCTCAGTCACTAGAACTCTGTTGCTCCACAGAGTAGTACCTCAATAACTGGAGCATTTTTTGTTGATTATATTAGACCATAATGTTTGGTCTCTGTTGACATGTCAGTTCCTAGTATGAGCAATCCAGCAGTGTTTTTAAGAATAATAATAACAACAAAGCTTTATTTCGGACAGTATGTCAACACAGTGCAGAAATTCTTAGCATATTCAGTTGCAAAATATTCTCACTTCTTACAGAATCTACAAGTAAAACAATAATCTGTAGTATATCACTTGACACAGTGTTATTCCATATGAACAAAGATGCAATTCTTTACGGCACCTTGCCTTCATTTCCTTCCAGAAATGCAAAGCATTTTGTTATAAGCCGATTAGAAAATATACTCAAGTTTATGTATTTATGAGCGGATATAATTGCATGGTTAAAACAATGAGTTAAAGGATTGTGAGGCGTGGTAATTTTAGTAACCTAGAGACTCAAACACACAGCTGAATTTTTCTGGAAGATAGCAAAACAAATTACGCCTGATATTCAGTCCAAAACAGATGGCCCCTGTGATTCAGTAACCTGATGGATAACGCTTTAGCGTTTGAAACGATGAGTGCTGGGTTCGAGTCTCAGTGGGAACAACATCACTAACCCACTGGCTTAATATGAAGGTAAATCAGCTTGATGAGTCCTGAATAAGACGAGACGCATATCCTCTATTCTACCACCGGTCACCATTAACCTCCAGGAGTACTGTTATTTGTACTTTAAGGGATCATTATCACTATATGCATAGAAATATCCATTTTACTATAAAGGCAAGTACTACTTTACGTCACTTACTGACTAACTAGTTCACGGTTAAACCTCTTTTTATCTATTTTTTTTATTTACAGCTTGATTCCACACTGTATTTTCGGTACAAGTATGGAATTTTCAGCATGGATATCGGTAGCCAAAATTTTGCAGGCCGACCATAGATATCAGATGTGCGTCGGTGCGGGCTCGAACCCCGGACCATGTGCATGGTCGGTTAGAGTCCTAACCACTGTGCCACCGACGCACAGTTAATCCTGCGTAACATCAAGTAAATGAATAAAGTATCCTTACATCAATCTCATCACTTCTTATTGACAGCTTTAATCTCATGTTAAAATTTAATTGAAAACTTTTGAAAAGACAAATTATAAATATTAAATGAAGCAACTGGGTCGCGTAACATCCCTGAACAAAGCATAGAGTGGCAGTCACACCTCTACCTCAACAGCTTCGTCAACTTCAAAAAGGCTTTCAACAGCGTTGACAGAGACGTAATTTGGAAACTACTTCAGCACTATGGCGTGCAGTGCTTCAAGTCTTTATCAACCTCATTCAACATCTGGCTACATGACAATGCCGTATGTCGGGTGATCCAAAACGGGAAACTCAGTGGAAGCTTTCAAGGAAATTCAGGAGTAAGACAGATCTCGCTGCCTATTATCACCGGTGATATTCCTAATTGTGGTGGACTGAACTATGCATGAGACTGGGGAGAGCGTGGAGACAAGAATACGCTGGACCACCAATAAGAAGATTCTATAAGATCTGGATTCCGCAGATGATATATGTCTAATGTCACACAAACTTGAAGACTTAAAAGCAGGCGAAAACCAAGAAGCTGGCTGAAGAGGCTGGCAACGAGGACAGGAATTCAGGTGAACACAGAGAAAAAAGAGGTGATAAAGACAACCAACTAACAGCAACAACCAGCACCAATGGCCATCAAAGGGAGAGATTTAACAGAGGTTACTTTCCTCCCTTATCTGGTCAGGAAGCACGGTTTCAACTACAAACAGAACGGAGGACGATGTCATAGTCAGTCAGAATCGGAAAGGCAAGATACGCCTTCATCAACCTGTAACCAGTTTGTAAATTTTCTGCACTGTACTCAGTCAGCATAAAGAACAAGATTCGAATTTTCAACACCAATAGGATGTCGGTCAGTTCTTCCATAGGGGTCAGAAACGTGCACTGCGTGACACGAAAAGCATTTCCAATAGGTGGCTGCAGATGTTTATCAACAGCTTCCCCCTTCTGTGGCTGCATGCTGAAGATCAAATGGCCAACCAGCCGGCCAGAAAGAACTAGCAACAAGGAACTCTGGCTGGGAACAAACTATCCAAGAGTCGACCGCTCAACAGAAAATCGAGATGGATAGGGTATACGTTGAGAAGACCATCAAATGACATGGCATGCAATGCAGACCATTGTTCGAGTGGAATGTGAATGGCAAGCGATGAGTGGGTCTTTGGTGTGAGGGTGACATGGTGGAGATCTTATAATGAGGAGGAGGAGGAGACGAGAGATTATGGGCAATCGTGGACGCAGAGGAAGAGGACGACAGATAATAGAAGAAAGTGGAGATGTGTTAATGAAGCCCTATTTTCCACTGGGAACCCGAGGGAGTAATAATAATAAAATATTAGTTGAATAATATATGTAACAATACATCCTAACACTAACTTCCCATTAATGATTTGGAATAAATGAAAACGTAGTAAACGATTACTGGAGTAGTTTATGTGTGATGTCATAAACTACTGACTGATTGAAGTGAGTAGATGAATACAACCGAAAATAAGCCAGTAATTCACGCTAGCCAGATTTAAGTGACCTGAACACCAAACGATTATTTTACTCCTTTGGGCGGAACTTACCAGCTACTCTGTCAAATTGACTAAACTCAGACAGCTGAATCACTTCATACCACCATCACCTGATTTCTAGAGAGCTAAGTGAGACAACTGACCATAAGGCAAATTCAAAATTTTCAAATGAATTCGTCATTTTTAGTCTTCACAGTTTGAGGGGGTGAAATTTCAACAGATTTCCCATTGAGAACGGAAATTATTCATCTTATATATTGTATGACCCACTCGATGCTATAAATGGCAATCAAGAAAACAGGTATTTAAGCATAATCCTACATACTACTGTTCAGTCCGATGATTATATTGACTTTATAAAAGTAGCTTTTTGTTACTGGCGGTAAGTTATCACGTTTTTAATCACAAGCCGACTAAAAAGAATCCCGGCGGCTGCGTACTGCTGAAGAGTCCCAAACTAGGACGAAACAGCTGTTCAGTACTCCCTGGTTGGTTTTACAATAGTTCTCTAACTAATGTCAGCTCATGATGAAATCCTGAAACCAATCGAATCCCTACAAACCAACACTTGAATACCAATGAGATGCTCACTGGCGACTGGCCCTATTCAGGTAGGTAGTTACCTGGGTTCCAGTGGGAAGTCGTGAACAGTAGGGTGCAGTGGGTCGGGTGTGAGGACAAATACTCGCTGAAGACATTGGCTAGCGGTCGCGCTATGTCGTGAATTAGCAGAAGTTAGAATTCGTGGGTCATTGGATTGGGTCCCAGTGGCTTAATGGTATACGAGCTCACCGGCCTTGTAACTAGAAGGTCCTGGGTTCGAACCCTGGAGGTGGGTGCGTACCGCTGAAGAGTCCCAAACTAGGACGAAATAGCTGTCCAGTACTCCCAGGTTTTCCAATGGTTCTCTAACTAATGTCAGTTCATGATGAAATCTTGTAACCAATCAAATCCCTACAAACCAACACAGGAATACAACAGTTAAGCGCTTCCTTTCAGTCAGACTAATATTCTTTAGAATATACTTTAAACTAACTATACAACTTAAAATTTTATAAACCGACACTAAAGTAAGTATATGACAAACGATCATAATGTTATATATTTTTGGAGTAGAGTTGTTATATGTCCATCGGATGTTTTTAAGGTGCACTGTCACTTTGGGACTACATACGAGAATGACACTGCGACTGAAATATTAGCATGAATATGTAAACATATATATATGTATATATCAACCCAAAAATAATAGCTAAAGTGTGATGAGTTTTTTCAGAATGTGTAGCTAAACTCGTCTTTCATTTAAACGTCTTACTCCAGTTTATAAAATGTTATTATATAGCAGAGAAGATTTGTAGCTCAGGTGGATGATTTTAAATTAACTGTGTTGTCTGAGTTGGTTGATTTAATCAGGAGAACTAACACAGGAAACTTAGAAATACAAGTATACAGAAAATCAAAGGACACAGATCAAATACTCAACTAATATAAGCAATAGCCCAATGACTCACAAAAGAAGCTGTGTACAGAAACTACTTAGAAGAAGAGTCCAAACACATAGTAGCACTGCAGTGCTGAAGAACAAAAAAGAAGAGAAATACCCACTAACTGTCTTCAAAAAAGAATGAATACCCGTAAACTCTGATC